AAAACACGAATTTGGGTATTTTGGACTAATTTTACACTTTTCATAGTAGAGGGTTTAAATTTTGTCAGTTTATGTAAAATTGGCCAAGGAACAAGAATATGGCCTCAGATTTGACCTCCGACGAATACTTACAGAGTAAACCCCCCAAAACACCCTAAAAACACATAAAAAACCGTTTTTTCTTGGGGTTTCTGGGAAAAATATGTGGACAAAACTTTCTGATGATCTTATCTTGTAGAAAATCACACGATGAATCGAATGAGACCACGCGCAGATTTTTATGTCAAACCGTTTAGAAGATATAGAGGTTCAAAGTATGAACATTTTGCCATTTATTTTTTAAAAATGCAGGTTTTGAGCAAAGTTTGACGTTTTTTGCCTCCTTGGTGCGTGTTGGTGTTCTTATCTTGTGGAAAAAGACGCGCTGAATCGAATGAGACCACGCACAGAGTTGTATCTCAAACCGTTTAGGAGATATAGTGGTTTAAAGTATGGGCACTGTAGTCCGCCCGCCCAACAGGCGTGATTGGCGGCTCTGCCTTGTCGGGTGTTTGCAGGAGCTCTCCCGTGCCCATACTTTAAACCACTATATCTCCTAAATGGTTTGAGATACAACTCTGTGCGTGGTCTCATTCGATTCAGCGCGTCTTTTTCCACAAGATAAGAACACCAACACGCACCAAGGAGGCAAAAAACGTCAAACTATGCTCAAACCCTGCATTTTTAAAAAAATAAATGGCAAAATTTTCATACTTTGAACCGCTATATCTCCTAAACGGTTTGACATAAAAATCTGCGCGTGGTCTCATTCGATTCATCGTGTGATTTTCTACAAGATAAGATCATCAGAAAGTTTTTTCCACATATTTTTCCCAGAAACCCCAAGAAAAAACGGTTTTTTAATGTGTTTTTAGGGTGTTTTGGGGGGTTTACTCTGTAAGTATTCGTCGGAGGTCAAATCTGAGGCCATATTCGTGTTCCTTGGCCAATTTTACATTAACTAACCAAATTTTAACCCTCTACTATGAAAAGTGTAAAATTAGTCCAAAATACCCAAATTCGTGTTTTTTCTCCAAAAGTTAAACTAAAGTTGGCCATATCTCGGGCAATAAATTTTTGCCGGACCTAATATTTTGGTTTTAGACTCTCCTTTAGTGAGTTATTAAGCCTACAAAAAATCAGGCAAATCGGAGAGGGTCACCGGAAGAAGTGGTCCGTCTTATTTGATTTTGCTCAAAGAGAAGGCTTGCCGTCGAAGCAGGTCATCTATCGTGCGAGACCCCTCAGGAGATTCAACAGTTCGAAAAGCGATTCGCTAGTGACACCAGCACCGCCGTCGCGGCGGCCGATGTCTTCACACGGTTTGGCTGCCTCCGCGGCTGCCACTACCAGCTGGCCACGCACCTGGTCCACGTCACCTTTGTCCATTACGCCATGAAGAACCACCCTGCGGTGAAGCTTTTGGATGAGACTATGCTTCGGCTGCACAACGGCGGTGTCATCACCAGATGGATACAAATGCAACTTGAATGGAAGAAATACAAGCGGGCTAGGGCTCGGATGCGGCACTCCGAAGCGCAACGCCGGACCCAGGGGCGCGCCATGGTGAAGGACTTCGTGAGCCTGCTCTCCGTGGGATTCCTGGTGGCTACGGCGGCTCTTCTGGCTGAGATTGTTGCACACCGGGCACTGCAGAGAATCTGAGCGTGCACTTAAAGAAGTATGCACGCAGCGTCTGATTCGTAACTACGAAGAAACTGAAGGCTGTGTAGAATTGCTTCGTACACACTAAATGTTTAGGTAGAATTTTGTACGTGCAACTTGCACGATTTTGTGCACTCGTGGAATTTGCACTATATCATGCGTAAAAATTGATAAATTTATGCAAATTCACGCATTATTTTATACACAACGGTTCATAGGTTAAAAATTATGCATCACCACGTACAAAATTGTACATAAAGATTTAACGTGTATAATGAAGAAATGTTTCGTATCATGAAGAATGCTGTAACATAATACGAAGTGTTTTCTTTTTTCGTAGATTTTCCACTGCTTTTGTTTGCTCTGTATTTTGAAGCGATGTTTTGTGCGATTTTTATTGTGTGCCTTCAGCAGGCCTACGAAAGCCTGATTTGTTGCTTCGAAAATTTCGTGAGCAGCTTGCATGGGCGTCAGTTTGAACAAGCCAATAAAAACGACAGCCCAAAAATACAAACGCATTTTCATTGACCTCACTCTAAATGTCTTACGAAGAAATTTCCCATAATACGAAGGAAATGGCGCAAGCATAATACGAAGGTGGTTTTTCTTCGTATTATGAAGGTTTTTCTTCGTATCTTACAATGAAAAAGCTAAAAAGATTCGTATTACGAAGGAATATTGCTTCGTATTATGCTTGCGCCGAATTCACTGTAACATACGAATAACATAGGTCAAATTTCATTGTAAGACATTTAGAGTGCTTATCGGGGTGCCCACTATCTTTGGAAAACAAAATTACCTGACTTTTCCCTGACCTTAAATCCACTTTCCCTGACCAAACGTGCACGGTACGTGGAGAGATAAAGTAGAGAAAAGAATGGGTTATGTACGTTGCTTGTAGACACTATGTAATTTTGGACGCGAGCACACTCTAAATGTCTTACAGTGAAATTTGACCTATGTTATTCGTATGTTACAGTGAATTCGGCGCAAGCATAATACGAAGCAATATTCCTTCGTAATACGAATCTTTTTAGCTTTTTCATTGTAAGATACAAAGAAAAACCTTCGTAATACGAAGAAAAACCACCTTCGTATTATGCTTGCGCCATTTCCTTCGTATTATGGGAAATTTCTTCGTAAGACATTTAGAGTGCAAAGCGAGCCCAAAGAACACGCATTATATTGACGAAAATTTGATTCCGACGGTCTCCAGTCAGCCTTTACGTAGATACGTTTTCTGCCCTCACTTAAAAATCAGTGTCCGACAATTCGACGCGTCCTAATACAGTGATCCTAAATGCCAGGGTCGAAAGACAATCCCAACTTTTCGTGTCAATTCAGAACTATCCTAAATGCACCTCACGTGAAAGGCGGTGTTTTCTCAAGTCCGTGACGCCAACATACTTCATCAAAGTACTGGCCCAGGGGCTTGTTGCAAAGTTCCATCCTTACATAAATACGTGGTTATTGTATTTCAGATATATCGAGATTCTCCGATTTGCAGAGATAAACTTCATCAACACTTTGAGGTACCTCTGCAGTTGGGATAGTTCTAAATCTGCACTGCACTGTTAAAAAAAATTACTGAAAATTCATAATTTTTTGTAAGAAGTCGATTTACTTACATTCAGTCTGAATTTTCATACCAAAATTTTCATACTTCGAGGTCTTAAATTTTCAGACGACGTTAGTCTGAATTTTCAGATCAATTTGTTGTATGAAAAATGATACCAGTCAGTCCGTTTTATCAGACTAAATTGTACGAAGAACATAAACAGTCGCACCAATAAATGCCTCTTATATAGTGGAGCCCAAATCGGCTAACTTTTGCCGTTAGTTTGTAGTAGACGCTCTGCAGATCGTCTCGAGGCAAAAATCAGGTAGACGGTAGCAGCCATCTCCTTCCCGAGGTAGTGGAGAGTCTAATGGAGACTGCTGAAGTCCGAGGGTGAGCGGCCTTAGCCCAACCACGCGTCGACCCGTGGCCATGCGCGAGAGGGAAATTGTATTCTCTGTTATTTAGCTTATATTGCACATATTAACATCAATCTTGCTTTGGTGCGCTCATGCCCTTTCAGACAATCATTTGGAATGAGTTTGTAACAAAATATTCACCCATTTTCGCCTTCAAGAGGCAATTTTAGCTCCGAAAGATCAACCATGCGACACTAGCGCCACCTAGCGGATAGAGCAATAAGTATCCATTTCGGAGCTCTGAAACATTCTGTTTGCTCTTACGACACTAAACGTAAATATTATTTGAAATACAACAGAAGTATTGATAAAATTCTTGAGAAAGCCGAAAAATGTAGAAAGTGGACGGCGTTTTTTCACCAGTTTTCCGACTTCACAAGTATGAATTTAGTTTTCGGACGACAATGTACAAAACTTGATAGCCATTGCTTTAAATATTCAGACTTGCTAGTCTAAATTCAAATTTCAGACTACAGGTAACACTTTTTGGACCTTTAGTCTTAATATTCGTACCATTTTATGAATTTACGATTCAGACCACCAAGTAAGACGAAATCAGTCTGAATTTTCATATTTTTTTTAACAGTGTGACAGTGAGGATTGTCTTGAATCAGCTCTGGCAGTTAGGATTGTCTTGGATGTGCTCTGACGGTTAGGATTATTCGAATAGGACGCGTCGAATTGTGATTTTTCCTCACTTCCTTGACAGACTTTCATTTCCCTGACTTCCCTGATACGTTGCCACCCTATGTATGGAACACCTCTGAGCTAACTTTCCAAATCGTGAGACAGTCCAATAGGGTACTTTCGTAGATCCCTGAACCGGAAGCACACAGACGCCATGTTGGCGGAAGTAGATCCAAACTTGACATGGGAAAGAGACGTTAGTCAAACGTATCGGCACCACTTGAACATTAACAGTCGTTTGATTCTTGTTTGCGATGCGTATGTGTTTCGCGAACAATATTTGTACAGCTCGGCTATAGTTTTAGATCCGAAGAGAGGTTAGTTTCCGGCCAATTTGGCGTCTGCTGGTCTGCTTGCTTCCGGTTCAGGATCTACGAAAGTACCCTATACGCGGCGCACACTCTAAATGTCTTACAATGAAATTTGACCTATGTTATTCGTATGTTACAGTGAATTCGGCGCAAGCATAATACGAAGCAATATTCCTTCGTAATACGAATCTTTTTAGCTTTTTCATTGTAAGATACGAAGAAAAACCTTCATAATACGAAGAAAAACCACCTTCGTATTATGCTTGCGCCATTTCCTTCGTATTATGGGAAATGTCTTCGTAAGACATTTAGAGTGCACGTCTTGTGCACCGTTTATCGTTTACTTTGACATGCCACATCAGTTTAAAACGAATGTAACATCGTTTAGAAACAAATGTGACTGTTGATAGCTTGGTAACTCATCTTTTCCTTTAGCAGTCATCTAACACAATGTTACGCAGGCCTTGACCCCCTGTGCCCCTCACGTACCGCACCGTTACTCTCTCGAGATACCCCCTTCTTTATAAGTTACGCGATTGAGTATTTTGACGGCTTCGCGGTTCGCAGAGCAGAAGTAAGAAGCACACGATCGGAAGTGACAAAATTCTCGAGAAGTGCAGGCTGCGAAGCTCATCCGCGTATTCATGAGGTAAGGGGCCGTCCATTAATAACGTAACGCACTTTTGAGCCTTTTTTGGACCCCCCGTCCCCCCATGTTACGCTGCGTTATGCTAGTCCTGACCCCACCTCAAGTCGGGCTACATGCGTGCTGCGGAAGGCAGTAAACGAGAGCTCTCTCTCTCTCTCTCTCTCTCTGACGCCCCCCACCCCCCACCCAGCGTAACGCAATTCAAACTCTCTCAGATAACCACATTATTTACCCTTATTAACCGTCTGAACATCTTAAATGGGCTCTCATATAGGGTACTTTCGTAGATCCTGAACCGGAAGCAAGCAGACCGGCAGACGCCAAATTGGCCGGAAACTAACCTCTCTTCGGATCTAAAACTATAGCCGAGCTGTACAAATATTGCTCGCGAAGCACATATGCACTGCAAACAAGTATCAAACGACTGTTTATGTTCAAGTGTGGCCGATACGTTTGACTAACGTCTCTTTCCCATGTCAAGTTTGGAACTACTTCCGCCAACATGGCGTCTGTGTGCTTCCGGTTCAGGGATCTACGAAAGTACCCTATTGGAAGTATCATGCGTAACGCTACGCTAGCTCGGAGTCCATGTCCCTCCATGTAACGCTGCGTATCTCAGTGCGGATTCCCCCTCCTCCCCCACCCGATCTCCCTTAGATGCATAACATATTATAGATGGACGGCCTCTGATACAAACTTAAGTAATTTCTCTCGTTTTTTATTCTTTACACTGGCGTTCTGGAAGGGCGTTGGAATACCATTTCAGTGAACGTCCTCTTGCAGCATTTTCCGAACCTGAGGGCTGAAAACAACATTTCGGTCACGGTTCAATAGCAGTCAGAGAAAGCATCATGTGCGAAGCTTCTGAAGAAATGCAAAGGGGGCATCCATAAAGTACGTCCGCACTCGAAGGGGGAGGGGGAGGTGGACAAAAGCGGACGTTGGCGGACGTGAGGGGGAGGGGGGGTCCGAGGTGGTCGGACGTCCTACTTTTATACGAAGAAAATTAAGAAAAATTAGACGATTTGCGCCGTCTTTACGCGCGGCGCCGATGTCAGCGGCGACGGAAACGGAACATAGTCATCTTTATTTTTATTTTCTGAATAACGCAGAAGGCCTCTTTTTGTGGCTTAACACGCGTTTTTTATCAGTTTACCCCCAAAAAAGCGCTTTATTGTTGAAATTTGGAATACTTTGGCCAAAATGGACGTCCAAAGGGGGGAGGGGGGGTCGCCGAAAGCGGACGTTAGCGGACAGGGGGGGAGGGGGGGTCAAAATTACCGAAAAAAGTGCGGACGTACTTTATGGATGGCCCCAAACCGAACAGTGTGTAGTGAGATCAGAGGTGAGATGCGGCGCATTACGGCATAGCGGTTAATCTCACGGTTTCGACAAAATGTTCCGAACTGTACGACCAACCGTCGTGATTTAGGCTTCTCTGGAAAGCCAGAAGGCTTGTCCGGGTTTGCTCGTCATTGCAGAACGATTAGAGGAATTAAAACCGGGAAACGATTGTTTCGGTAGTAAGTAGCCAGCTCGGTTGGTTGTCAAATGTGGTATTTTGTCGAATTTCTTCTCCATCATTATATGTTGATGCATGCATCAAGCCTTTCACCAGAGTGTGCTCTTTGCGAAGGTATTCGTGTCCTTGAAGCAGTATCGAAATTCTGTAAGGGAGAGTGGGGTAGTTCCGGACGCTTTTTTTTCTTTTTGGTCTTTGAGCTTGAATATGCTTCTTGGGTTAAATGTTATGTCAGGAGAGTAAAGTATGGACCTTTACCTTCAAAACGGTACACTCTACCAAAAATGTCCTGTAAATGCCGCTAATTTATTACCAGTTTTCACTGTAGGTCAATTCACAGCGTTTACTGTGATCTGCTCACGGGATTCACTGTGATCTTGTTCGCGGTGTTCACTGTGATCTGGTCCCCAGTAAACACTGTGAGTTTGACGCCGCTGAGCACCGAAGTACTGCAAATCAGGCTCCAATTCACGGCGTTTACTGTGGCCAGATCACAGTGAACACTGTAACCGAGATCACAGTGAACGCCGTGAACTAGTTCACAGCAAACGCCGTGAATTGCATAACAGCAAACATTGGTAATAAATTAACGGCGTTGACAGGACATTTTTTGTAGAGTGTATACATGAAAGCCAAATCTCAGCAACGGTTAGGGAGATATAGGCACCTAACAAAAGCCCTGCACGTGTCCGGAGTTGCCCCAGGCTGGGGTAATTCCGGACGACCTATGGGGCAATGCCGGACGACCTTAAAATTTGACACTACTCGAGCTTACTTTCGCTTGTTTTGATGTGAGGCATGCTTTTAGAAGGCGTTCAAGGACATTTGCTGCGAACTGAAGTGTTTGATTATTACTCAAAGCATATTATAAGGAATAATTTCTATCAAAACCCCTAAATTGACAACACTGTCTTGAGTAAAGCTCTCAAACATAGCTGCAATGCTATTTTTCGTTCTTTCTTTATCCTTCTTAACGGTGGGGATGCATGTCCACAATATTGAACCCACTACCTTAACATTATGCGGGAAATTGAAGAAAATAACCCTTATTGTCCGGATTTACCCCACTGGTAGTGAAAACCTTTGATGTTCAACTGTAAGAAAACGGCGAGCCATACGAGCACTCCCGAAACGCCAAAGTAAAGTCCAATGACCATATTATATGATAAAATTTTAGTCATGGGACTGAACTTGACGGTAAGGTACGATAAGTACATGGAAATACGAGGGAAAGATGCAGCTTTTGCCTATTTTTGATGGTACTCAAATTTCGTGAAGCGACCACAGGCAAACGGTTTGACCTCCTACTTTGGCGATTTGGAATTCTCCTTTTAAACTGATTATCTTCCTCTGTTAGGCGGGCTTTTGAGTTATCTTCACTCAAACCCAGTGAAAATCGAAGTGTCCGGAATTACCCCACCCTCCCTTACTTATGTGCTTATCTTCCGTAACATAGTATACTCTCAGCACGTTACTGACTTTTTTGTCTTTAATTACGTATTCGTATGAGCAACAATAATACTTAGTATTATTTCAGTTAGTATGATTAATTTCCTTTGTAAAATTATGTACAAAACCAAATTGCCAATACCTTACTCAATATTTCCTAATTATTTCTTTAAAAAGACTGGCTGTTGCAGATGGAGCTGGACTCGCTGTGCGACGATGCCCTGCTGCAGGTGCTGCGCTACCTCAGCCCCGCGGAGCTGTTGGCGTGTCGCTGCGTCTGCACGCGGTGGAGGGACCTGGCGCTGGACCCGTTCGTCTGGCAGGACAAGGGCCTGACTGCCGTCTTTAAGGGAGAACGCGAGTGAGTCGAATAACAGGAAAAGTAGCGATATACGTCGGCAACTTTGGCCCGCCCCGTGTTACATTAAGAAACGTACGAATTTTGCCTATGTTTGACCCTTACGGGAATTAAACCTGAGTCTGGGGTTTAAATAAATGTCGTTTTCGTCATCAGCAACCTCAAAAACATCAGAAACAATGCAAAAACTCGAATAAAAAGAATGTTCCAAAAATACCCCGCTGGGATTTGAACCCGGGTCCGAACTTCTCCGATTCGCTCGAAACTGGTACCATTGGTTTTCTCTCGTCGCCCCGATTCCAAAAATACCCCTACATGCCCTCCTAGCTGCATCCGTTGCCGAGATCTTCCTCGACCCCATGTAGACCATGGTGCACCTGCAGCAGCGCCCCCGGGGCTCGGATCGGATTTGCTGCCACCGGGCGGTTCTTAGGGTCACCCAAGGAGGCTGCATACCAAATTTGGTCAAGATCGGACCACGGGAAGTCCTCGGACGGACGGACGGACGGACGAACGAACGAACGGACGCACAGCAAGGATCATACTATATGCCCGTCCCTCCATCATTTTTTATACAAAAAATAAACGGGACGGGCCAAAAATTGTTATTTATTAAAATTGGCTGTATTTTAAGGTGGGTCTGCCTTTTAAGTTATTGACGAGACCGCACGTGTGGAGTAGACCACGTTTGGGTATTTGGTGAATTCTCACTGATTCCTCTCTCTGACTTTCTCTCAGTGAAAGATACTTTGGAGTTTGCTGCCAATTGGTCGCTGCCACCTTGCGGCTGGCCCCTTGCCTGCGCTACCTCTGCGTGGGCGCCGACGGGCTGCACATGGATTTCCTGGGCGTGCTCCTGGCCACCACCAACTGCGCTGTGTCTTCGCTCGGCATGACCTGCAATCCAATAGATGCGCCACTCTGGTCGGTGGTGCTCAGTAGGTAAGAGTGCAGTACGTTAATCCTCTGGAGGAATTTCTTTCTGAGGATACTCGCCCCCTCCAAATTTAATAGTGTACAGAGCATGGCTCTAAATGCGTGACCTTGAAGATGCTTGTCATGTGAGCCAAAAGAACCCGACCGCTCCGGCCGGCTCTGGTCGGGGTTTTCTGGTCACAGCGTCTAAACCGTTGAATTTAGAGGGGTAAAGTAAGCGAGCCGATTGTTCCTTGCACAGAGACCTACAATCGGCTCGCTTACTTTACCCCTCTAAGTTGAACGGTTTAGACGCTTTGACCAGAAAACCCCGGCCAGAGCCGGCCGGTGCGGTCGGGTTCTTTTGGCCCAAAACCTGGAGAACCGGCATTTACACTTCAAGTAGCACATTCCTTCATATGCTCTGTTGTTCTGCTTTACCTCCGTCATGCAGGCATGCGTCACTTAGCATATGCCAGGCGTACTGGTGTGCTTCAACCTCAAATCCTTAATAGCTTAGCAATGTAACAAATCAATTTTGTTGAAATTCGATCACCTGTGTAGCCACACAGACTGAAAATTGTTTTGGGGCTTAGCCCTATGCTTCGAAGTTATCGTTCATTATTCTTTAATTGTTCCCTCAAAAAGGGGTTTTAAAAGTTCGATTTACTAAATACTCTCGTACTTCCTTTGTCCACAAGTGATGCTTTATTCACGCATATGTAAGCTTTTTACAATTTATTTTATAATTTGGGGTCAAAACTTTTAAAATAACTTATAAAGCTGTTCCTACATACTTCCTACATAATAGTTATGTCTGTGGCAATTGTTGGCACCATTTTGTTCTCAGGCAAGCTGCCCTGGGACGGCTGAAACACGTGGAGCTGTGGGTGAAGTCGGACACGGAAGAAAAATCTCACTTGTGCAGACTACGGCAGCTCCTAGATCAACTTGTGCACACCCAAGGTAAGTGGGAAGCCGATCTGCAAACCCAAGTGTGTGGCAGGCGCACACTTCTTTTCTGCACGTCCGGCAGGCACACACTTCCCGTCGCTAATGCATGCATACAAGCAAGTGAGTGCTTGAGACGTGCAGAAAAGAAGTGAGTGCTTGGCGCACACTTGAGTTTGCAGAGCGACCGGGACCGAAACAGAAGTGCATCGTGATTGTATCTTTGGCCAGGTACACTGTAAATCCAAGTGCGAACCGCTATGTCTCACGCTTACATTTCGAGGGGTCCTATTCAAAAGATCTTATCTGCGCGTTCCCCCCAAGACAATCTTATCTTAAACGCAGGCAAATTCCACTCAGTTTGATCATTTGATACAGCTACATATCAATATAATTTGTGATTAAATTCACTGAAATGTGAAGATGAAAGATCAAAGAAACCAACAGTGCATGCAGAAATATATTCCGCTTACTCTCGTACCCATCACAAGTGGTCAAACTGAGTGAAATTCGCCTGCGTTTAAGATAAGATTGTCTTGGGGGGAACGCGCAGATAAGATCTTTTGAATAGGACCCCTCGATTTGTGAGCCGCGTTTTGTCTCACGCTTGCAATTGATCCAGGAAGCGGAAGAAGGGAATAATTCGACTTATCTCCAAATTGAGTTTTTATTATGTCGTTGTGCCTTGGAATGGTTTGCATCATTGTACCAAATTATTTGACTCAATTCCTAGCAGTTAAACAGAAAATCCACTTTGAAAAAAGATGTAACTCAACTTGACCCCTTTTTCACTCTCAATTTAGCGGAAAATAGAATCATCTGAACCAAAGTCAACATGACTCCGTTCAACATATTGTTGATAGGAGATAACTCAACTTGTGTTTTTATGTATCCATTGTAAAAAGAATCAAGTCAACTTACCCCCCTTTAATTTTAAGAACTTGAACGGAAAAAAGAGCTAAGTCCAAAAAATGCACCAGATGAACCAACACTCTCTGCTGACTATAGTTCCACTTGACATGTCTCCGAATTCCACTTGGTTTAAGAAATTTAAGTTGAGATGACTCTGTTTTCCATTTCAGTGGAAAGTGATAAGTCACAGATATCCTATACGCAGTGACTTGACACTCGTGATGTTTATCTCAAAATTTAACTTCCTTTTTTATTTATAACTTGTTATCATCTATAACATTCCATTGTTCAGTTTTAGATTTCCCTGCTAACAGTTTTTTGTTGCTCCTGAAAAATGGTCAAAATGGAGTTATCCCCTTCTTCCGCTTCCTGGATCAATTGTGAGCCACTGTTTGTCCCACACTTGCAAGCGTGGGTCCTGTGGCATTGAACCAGCGGGAACCGTAGGCAGCAAGTGTGGGAAAAACCACACTTGTATCACTGTAAAAAATTAGTTCGTTAAATTACATACATTTCTTTGGTAATTTTGTTGCACGAATACTTTGTAAATTTACAACGTTTTTATGTTTCTAAACCATTTATGAAATATTCTTCATTCAGGAGTTCGTAAAATTACGAACTTTATACGCGTTCCAAATAACGTGGACCTTACAAATAGATTTCATAAAGTAACGAAATATTTCCGTTTCTTTGCAGGGAATTTGTTACAATTCTTCTCGTAAATTTACAATTGTTTTTTGCAGTGTAGTTAGGGTGATAAAGCCCACTTCGCGGAAGGTATGGACTTGATCTATTGCCATTGCAGAACTTCTCTTGCGTTGTGCAGGTCTGAAGTCGCTGGAGATGCGGGTAGATATTCGCCCCGAGTCCTTCCGCAACGCGCCGCGCCCCCTGAAAGCGGCACAGCTGGACGCTAAAGTGACGGCTTCGTTGCGAGAGCTGATGTACTTATCGCGTACCGCTTTCGTTGACCCCTACCTGCCCTTGCTTCTGGAGCGGCATGCGGCCACGTTGGAGGTGAGTGTAGGCACCAAAGCGAGGGGGTAACCACTCGCGTAATACCCTGTAAGCAAAAACCGTGTATTACGCGTAATACACGTGATCGTAATACCATTTTTGGGTCAAATGTGCCAAATTTTGGCATTTTAGGGCCGTAATACACGTGTAATACACCCGTAATACAGCGTAATACCGAGTAGTCTGTACACGATTTCTTGAAGTGTTAACCCCCTCGCACCAAAGCGTGATGTCTTGTCTGACTGACCGATTTCCCCGGTAAAACTGGTCTAAAATAATTAATCTAAAATTCCTGTAAATTTTCGCCGCCTTTCGATGAGTTGAACTTGCTTCTTACGCGTTAAATGCCTACACTGGTAAAACTAAAGCGTGGTAGTTTTACCCCTATTTTCAAGCGTAATTCGGTTACGCTTGAAATCAAGCGTAATTAGGTTACGCTTGAAATCAAGCGTGACAGGCTCATCCACCAAGATTTCCCCTATCTAAATGCATGGGGGAATTTCCAGAGTATGCTTAAGTCAAGCGTAACGTCTTCAAGCGTAACTTTATGCTTGACTCAAGCATAGAGTTACGCTTTAGTTTTACCAGTGTATGGACTTGTTTGCCCAAATCTACTGCCATATTTGTGCACATGTAGGTACTCTGACATACTGTCTGTAACTTGCGGCAACTCGGTTATTAAACTCCACTAAGCTTCCGTATGCACAAATACGACAATAGTTTTAGACAGTTTAAGTACATATTCAGAGTGTGTTCTCTTACCCCGAGCTTGTGGTGCTTGACTTGGCCGGCAGGTGGTGCGGCTCGACGTGCAGCACCCGCGTGCAGCCGCCCTGCTCGCCGGCGCGGCCCGCCTGCGCGAGCTGCGCTGCCCCTTGCTGGAAGGCATGCCGGCCCTGCTGCGGTGCACCGCCCTCACGTCGCTCAGCTTGGTCGTCGGCGAGGACAGGGCGCCCTTGCCCGCCGTCAAGGAGTACCTGCGCTCGGCTGTGGCGCGCCTCGAGAGCCTGGTGCTCATCTACCCCTACGACGAGGATCGCGACGAGGACGCGGACGTGGTGCTGAGCCTGGCGGGCACGGGCCGTGCCGCCCCGGCCCTGCGTAGCCTTTCTTTCGTGTTCACGGCCGGACTGGACGAAGAGTGCTTAGCCCACTCGATGCCCCAATTACGCCCGCTGACCGCCGTCCTGCCGCGCCTGCAGCACCTCACCCGCCTCTCCTTCAACGGCTTGCTTTTGCGCAGCGACTTCCTGGACGCGCTGGACGGCCAAGTACTGCCGGACCTGGAAGAACTCCGCTTCGACATGGACGCGCCCTGCCCGCACCAGTGGGCCCACGGCGAGCAGGTGCGACGCCTCTTGCAGCGCTACCCGCGCCTGCACTTGTGCGGCTATTCCGTTCACGATGACGACAGTCTCCTGTGCGAGTACTGCAAGCAGCACGACTGCCACTGGTTTGAGTACATGTCGTGTGTGTTGTTCAGCCACGCGGTGGAAGACAGCTGCGGCGTGGACCACTCGAAGAGCGAAGTGCAGATGCGTGTCAGTCTGGAAGCTCCACCACTTGGGGAGGCCCCACCTCTGTAGGAGGCTTTACCTCTGGAGGAGGCTCCACCTCTGTAGGAGGCTTTACCTCTGGAGGAGGCTCCACCTCTGGAGGAGGCTCCACCTCTGTAGGAGGCTTTACCTCTGGAGGAGGCTCCACCTCTGGAGGAGGCTCCACCTCTGGAGGAGGCTCCACCTCTGGAGGAGGCTTTGCCTCAGTAGATGACTTTGCCTCAGTAGATGGCTTTGCCTCAGTAGATGTGTTCGTGTCATCCGCGTCACCGCGCTCATTTGACGACCATGCCTACTGTCTTGTTCCGAAATTCGTAATGAATGCAGCAAAGCAGATGCCAGCGCTTTATCAGTTGTGTGACTATAGTTTTACGGCTGGCGACCTTGTTGCTCTCGTGCTACCGACATATTTTGTTTTCTTTTTATTGTTCCAGTTTGGATTCCTAATTTGTCTTAGTTATTTCTTTTCTGTACTGTATTTAACACTAGAACCGCGGAGGGGGTCAATTTGACCCCTTTTAATTTTCGTCATAAATTTTTCTGACTTATTTTTTTCTTCTCGGATTTGGGGCTTTTTGACTTTTTATAAATACCAGAAAAGAACATTTGGGTGAAATTTCGGCTCTGTCGGACCATTTTTGTGGGCGTAGGACAACAATATACCTAGAACCGCGGCAGGGGTCATTTTGACCCCTGTATTGTTTGCACTCAGGAAGTTCGAATTTTGGCAATAAAAAAAGCGTCACAAGCGTCAATTTTAGTGGTGAATCATTTGGGAGTGCTATGGACTGCCCTGGGAGACCTAACTTGGCCAACGGCATAGGCGACCCGCCGAGCAAACGCCTAAATGTATGCAAGATGCGTGTGTTCCGCGTAAGGTATCTGTAGAATAAAAAAATCTCATTCAACGAACGTTAATGAAAGCAGATGATACTCGTTTGGTTTTCTTCGAGGTAGTAGTTCGGGCTTTTTTATAACTGTGTATGAAATAAATAGATAGCCCAATAATATACATGGACCTAAGCGAGCTGGCCAATGTCGGTGCGAACCGAGCTGTGGCTTGCACCGGCCGAGCCGTGAGACATTGTTGCTGTTCTGTGCGCGCTGTACCCGGGGCAGGGGATTGTTGGCCGGTGCCGCTCGCGCTGTACCCGCGAGGTATTGTCGATGTTTCGAGCAGACTGCCTGCCATGCGACACTCACGATCCCGCCCGGCAGCCACCACCCTAATATTATTGTATTATTGTTAGGATACCGCTTGGTTTCTGGACTCAGCAGTAAAAGCACGGTGTCACCTTAATGTGTCTAATAGTTTCAGATACGTTTCAAGTGTAAAGGTATCATCTGGTAAAAAATCTACGTCACTTAGTACCCATCCCTACACTGAATAACAGGAAAAGTTGCGATATACATCGGCAACTTTGGCCCGTCCCGTACATTGAGGAATGTACTAATTTCGCCTATTTTTAATCCGGACGGGACTTGAACCTGAGTCTGGGGTCAAATTAGATGTTTTTAGATCAGCATAAATTAGATCAGCACCCTCATACACATCAACAACAATGCAAAAACTAGAATAAAAGGAATGTTCTTAATGTACCCCACTGGGATTTGAACCCGGGTTCAAACCTCTCCGATCCGCTTGAAACTGGCACCGTTGGTTTTGTCTCGTCACCCCGATTCAAAAAATTTCCCTTCATGCTCTTCTAGCTGCATCCGTTGCCGAAATCCTCCTCGACCTAAGGTAGACCATGATGCACCTGCAGCAGCGCCCCCGGGGCTCGAATCGGATTTGCTGCCAGCGGGCGGTTCTGAAGGGTCACCCAAGTAGGCTGCATATCAAATTTGGTCAAGATCGGACCACGGGAAGTCCTCAGACGGACGAACGAACGGACGGACGCACAGCATGGATCATACTCCGTCCCTCCGTCATTTTTTTAACAAAAAAAATACAAGGGACGGGCCAAAAATGGTAGAAAAGGAGCAAAACAGGTTATTCGTGCCATGCGGGTTGCCTACCTTTGGCCTTTTAAGGCCCTATATAACTCAAAATATCATTGTTGATCTCAGATACATCATTTTACATCGTTAAGGGCCCATAACATGAGCAAAATTAAAAAAATACGGGCAGAAAAAATAGGGGGTCAAAATGACCCCTTCCGCGGTTCTAGGTATACAAAAAAGTCAGCGGTTCTAGTGTTAAGTTTGTTATGCTGTCCATTAAATTTAACGGTCAACGTTAGGCTCTGAATTTTTGTTTTAAGAATGAAATGCTTGAAATTTTCCTTCCTGTTCGTGTGCCTGCGTGCTCGTACACTTAATGTCATGGGACATCTTTGGTCCCATGAATGATACAATTTTGTGTCCAGGTGACAAGGGGTGAATCACTCGGCGTTGTGGTGTACACATGAGTACGAGTGAGTACACCCGAGGGGCAAACAACTTGAATTTAGGTGTACATTTTCCGTGAAATAACGTGAAATAACGGTGAAATAACGTTGAAATAACGCCAAAATAAGCGTGAAATAGCGTGAAATAACGGTGAAATAGCGCGAAATAACGGTGAAATAGCGCGAAATAACGTGAAATAACACGAAATATCGCGAAATAACGTTGAAATACCCTTGAAATAACGTTGGAATAACAATGAAATAACGTGAATTTGAAATAACGGTGTACAAATTTTGACGAAGTTGTTTGCCCCTCGAGTACACCTAATATTTTTAATTGTTTTTCGGCTTTCTTTAGCGGTTACACAATGCCAAATCGTATAAGAAATGAACTAATTTTGCTCTTTTCTAATTCTGTACACTGAGTACGGGCCCATTGGTACACATGAGTACACTAGTGATTCACTAGTGATTCGCCAGGTGACACTAAATCTTTTCGACGCCTATTGCAATTTCATTTGTCAAAATTGTACCACCGACGGATGTGCTTAAAAAATGCATCATTCGTGGGATCATTCATGACATTCAGTGAGCAGACTTTTCTTCCGACACGGAGAGGGACATCAAACAGTGTCCTTGGCTCGCTACACGTCCAAATCCATCCTTTCACCTCAATCAGAGCAGTCATACATCAAATATATATAGGTTGAAATGCTATTTTTGCGAATGAAGTTTTCATACCGTTTGGTATGCTTGTTTTCGCATGACTTTCTGGGTATCTGTTTTGAACTCCTGGGCGCCTAAACGCCAAAGTGATTGGGGTTGAGGTTGCCCCCGGTAACGCCTATTGCCGGCATTCATCATGTTACTACGTGGGCTATAGCACGTGCCGACATCTCCTCAGTAGAGGAACATTGCGCACTGATTCCGATTGTCTGCTCGGATTCGAATAATGTTGTAGGATTGCTGAGAACAAAGCGTTTTCAGTTTATCGTGTAGAGGTTAGCTGTCGGGCCGGAGGGGCTCGACGGCAGTTTCCTCGTACTAGAACGTGATTGTCCATCGCCGGGGTTTCCACTTAGCGTGCTTATTATCTGAGGCATGACTCCGCGCCCTCAGCTGATTATGAACGTGTGGGGGGACACTAATTACCCCACTTTCCCATAAATTGTTACATCGATACCTTTCTCGAGGAGATGTCGATGACTAAAATTGGTCATTCTGGTGGCAATTGTCAGTAATGCTTTGCCGTCCTCGGTTATGGCGCAACAGCAGTGTTGTCCGGCAGTGTGGGAAGTGGGCCAAGTCTCGACCTGGGAGCTGTCTTGGTGAGCGGTGACCTCACCCTCGTTGGTGGCCACCCGTATTTTCCCCTACACATATTTGAAGGGGAAATACAACTTCGAATTTCAGTGAACAAATTTTTTGAATCCCACATGAATTTTGGACGAACTTCAATGAATTGCAGACAATGCCCTGTGAAATTCCTATCGAATTTCACAGGTTTTTAAAAGAATTCCTTTGAACTTTGACGGTTTTTCATTTTGACTGAAAATGAAGATTGCGCATGAATTTTGGCGTACCAATTTTTGTACGTGTTTTCGGTTTTCCCCTACCATATTTACAGGGGTCACACGACTATGGGGTCGCTCCCGACTTGGTATCTTGCATTCAAATGATACGTACTCTAAACAATTGCAATAATTCAAATGCTAAACAAAATGCCTTGGCAGTGTGTAAGGTCCCAAAACACTAATTCTAACCGGTGAAGTCCAATTATAGAGCACCCTGAAGGCCTCTGGGATAGTGTGCAATTATTTAATGTTCCGATGCTTGTTTGCGACTAGCAGTTTACAGAGATGGTGCAGTTTTTTCTCCTTCCAAATAGGGTAATTCGGAGAATACCTAGACCGGAACTCAGCGACAGAACGAAAGGAACAACAGAGCGTCGCACGGCTGGGCTGAGCGGTGGTCGGTGGTGGGGCACTCTAAATGTCTTACGAAGAAATTTCCCATATTACGAAGGAAATGGCGCAAGCATAATACGAAGGTGGTTTTTCTTCGTATTACGAAGGTTTTTCTTTGTATCTTACAATGAAAAAGCTTAAAAGATTCGTATTACGAAGGAATATTGCTTCGTATGCTTGCGCCGAATTCACTGTAACATACGAATAACATAGGTCAAATTTCATTGTAAGACATTTAGAGTGGGCTTGAAATCGGCGGAGTAGGGGTAGCTGGTCCCACTCTGCCCATCCCGGCCCCCACTACCACTCAGCACGCCTCGCGACGCTCTTTTGTTGCTCCCGTTCTGTCGCTGAGCTCCTGTCTGAATTTCCCCCGAAGTACCTCATTTCGGCATTCGACGCTGGAAACAGCGACCTATCAACTTATTGTTTAAATATTCGTTTGTGTTTTTTTTTTTAAACCGATTTGAGAGTCTGCGTCTTGGAGGTCAAACCTTCCAAGTATAGGAAGTTATCTGTGTTGATAACTACTGTCGTTACAGTACGAGGGGCAAAACAACTGGCTCAAAACTTGTACACCGTTATTTCAAATTCACGTTATTTCATTGTTATTTCAACGTTATTTCAAGGGTATTTCAACGTTATTTCGCGTTACTTCATGTTATTTCTCGATATTTCGCGTTATTTCACGTTGCTTCACAGTTATTTCAACGTTATTTCAACGTTATTTCACCATTATTTTAACATTACTTCACCGTTATTTCACGTTATTTCAAGGAAAATGTACACCAAAATTCAAGTTGTTTGCCCCTTGTTACAGTACGATATCCGTTTACGGCGTGGAGCCCACGGCTAGAGTGACGACGAATGGCTGCAACCGCCCCGGAGTCTGCAGGGCCCCTCACCGCCCACCTGCTGTGTCGCGCGCATGACGTGACGCCCCACGAGCACCGCACCCGATTCCACAGGCAGGTGGCCTGGCTGCGTTCCTCCGCGGTACTGACCCTGATTTAAACTAAAGGAAGTGAAAAGCCTGCTTCTGATTTTTTCAGACGTCTTTTTAACAAAAAAAAGTCATACCCCACAAAACAAGAAGGGTTTGGAAAGTCTCGGGAAAAATGTTGGCAAAATAGCATTCCCGTCGTTGACGAGTGAAGAACGGGTGGGATCACAAAGCCGGAAAGGGCGCCGGCTACTTATAGTCCGGTTTGATTAGTTCGAAGTGCAAAAAGATTCGCAAACACGCGCCGATTAGGGGATCGATAGCACCACCCATAAGCATTAGATCTTGAAAATTCCCAAGAATTCGCATCATGCATTCTCCCGGAAACGGCGTTCTAAGTCCACCATTTTGGATTTCGGGGCCCAAGTGGTTTTCGACCACTATCGATACTATTGCTACCACAATTTAATCTATGTCTAAAACGATGAAAATTGCGCGAAGCTGATGAGAAAATAGTACATTTTACATCTGGTCTGTATCTATATGAGAAGAAAAGAAAAAATTCCAATGCTAACGCATTGCACGGTGTTCCGGTTGTAGGAATCAATTTGAAGTCTGTCGTCTAAACGTTAATCACGTTAATTTTACCGTTATTTACGTAACTTTGAATCCTACCGGTATTTTTACATCCCCAAACCTGATTCAGTTAACACAATGA